TTGGATGGTGGATTAGTTGTGGTTGCTGTAGGTTGCGTTGTTGGTGTTGGTGTGGGAGCTACTGATATGCAAGGTGGGTCTTTTTGAGTCGGCATTTGTAACTGGTGTTGAGTTTTCGTTCAACAATGTCATGTACAAACAAGTCGATGGTGTTGCGATGGGTTCGCCCCTTGGTCCGGTATTGGCAAACGTGTTTGTCGGTTACTGTGAGTCGAAAATTGATGATTCATTGTGGCCTGACCTTTATGTACGTTTCGTGGACGACTCCTTCACATATTTTGATAATGAGGAGCGTAGTAACGAGTTTCTTGACGTGTTAAATAGTATTCACCCTGCCCTTCGTTTTACATGTGAGCATGAACAGTCCAACAAATTGTCATTTCTAGATGTGCTTGTGGAAAAAACGAGTAGTGACGTTCTGACCACCGTTTATCGAAAGCCGACGTTTACTGGTCAGTACATTGTATATGACTCTTATTGTTCGTCTCAATATAAAGTAAACTTAGTGCGTAACCTTGTAGATCGTGCGAAGCGTATTTGTTCGTCCTGTAAGCTGCAGGAAGAGCTTGATTTTCTCCGGTCAGTTTTTGTCAAGAACGGGTACCCTGAGTTTTTGTTGCAGAAGTTGTTGAAAGTCGAACAAACTACGAAGGCTCCTATGATTGGTCCTGCTCGTTGTCCCGTTTATTTATGTTTGCCGTGGAAAGGGCAGGAGTCGACTAAAGTTTGTAGTGCAGTCAAGTCTGTTGTTCGTCGAACATACTACGCAGTACACTTTGTGCCCGTCTTTACGACGATGCGTGCGTTTACGGTGCGGAAGGATGTCCTACCAGCCCATCACCTAAGTCATCTTATTTACAACTTTGAATGCCGACAATGCGCTAGTCGGTATGTTGGTAGGACTGTTCAGCACCTGAACGCACGCATCAAACAACACACACCACGTCACATACTTCCACCTTGCGCACAACAACAAAGACCGAAGCGAGGGCGACCTAGAAAACAACCAATAACCACACAGCCGTTGCCTACACAACCCGCGGACCCTGGCTCACGGACTGTGCTTGCTCCGCCGTCGCTGGTGGCGGTGGGGGAGGAGAATGGGCGTGGTGGCTCATCGGGTCGGCTTGTGTCGCCGCCTTTGCTCCGGCCGTCGGTGGTTCCCTCGTCAGTGCCCCCGGCGGCTTTGGCTGAGGTGGTGCCGCTTGCGGTCCCGGTCCCACTGCCTCCTCCCGATCCTCCACCATCGGTTCTTGCGGCGGTGGAGCTTGCCAGTGGGAGACCGCGAGCAACACTGACAGCTGCATTAACACTACAAATGCCGACTCAAAAAGACCCACCTTGCATATCAGTAGCTCCCACACCAACACCAACAACGCAACCTACAGCAACCACAACTAATCCACCATCCAAGCCCACAATTGAAAGACCAAGACGATCAACAGCCAACTACAACAGAAGCTACGCACTCAGCGGACAAGGGCGAAAGGAGGGATGTGATAGCAGGGTGACGGCCGAGTTGACTTCAATGGACCCGGTCAGGCGGGATGGACGAGACAGAGAGAGTACAGAGGAAGCGGAGGATGGAGCGGACGGCGGAAGGAGCAGTGAGTCGGGGAGCAGTGATGGGAGTGATGGTGAGAATGCCGGTGAGAGTGTTAGTGTTGTGCGTAGGTTTCGTGGTAGCAAGTCTTCAGTGTACAATCATCTGCTAGCTAGTCCTGATTGTTGCAATTCGTATTCCGACTCTTCGTTCACTGTATTGTGCCGTGGTCGTCATGGTTATGGACTACAGTTAAAAGTGTTGGAAGCTATCTATCAGCGTCTGTACAAGCCTAATTTGTGTGTACAGAAAGATAGTATAATTGGGTTGAAATTGTTCAAGTAACGTGTCGTGTTTAGTGCGGCCAAGCTTGGCCGTTAATGTTCTAGGTGTAATGTACTGCTGTTATGTGTTATCACGTTGTCTTTCCTTCCTTTCTCCTTTGTTCATTTCTCGCTTTGATTGTTAAAATTCACACTTGTAAATTTCACTGTTGTTGCTCTTAGTGTTATTTCTGTAACTTAGATTTTCTATAATAGTTCAATTTTTGTTTCAGTGTCCTTTAGTACAACGACGATTCCTGATGAGTGTTGTACGAAAACTTGTTTGAATCCATATATTTTTTCCCTACACCATTTCTTCATATTTTCATCGTTTTATTGCACATCGTCTCCACCGTTTTTACATTGCATGAATAAAGTACACAAATGTCGGTTCAGCTAGTTTTATTGATTGCGGTTATCAAATTATTATTATTATTATTATTATTATTATTATTATTATTATTATTATTATTATTATTATTATTATTATTATTATTATTATTATTATTATCTGTCAAGTGTCATTAATGACATTGTACATGATCATCACGTCGTGCGCTCGATCTAATCATTGATTGTCCTTATTTTATGTTTTGCCCGTGCAAGAGGCATGGTTTGAGTTATTATTATTATTATTATTATTATTATTATTATTATTTATGTAGAAGAGAAAAGGACATATCGATACGAGTTAAGAGTAACTCTCCATCACTGTAACATGATACTATATACAGTCAGAAAGTGCAATAACTAGGCACAAAACTGACAGAGTACTGAAACATTCGACGTCCTGACACCTAGCTTCAACACATCTCCGTAGCGCTAACCGACAGCCTTCCAACTTGGAAGGTTCAAGGTTCTTTCTGACTGTATATAGTATCATGTTACAGTGATGGAGAGTTACTCTTAACTCGTATCGATATGTCCTTTTCTCTTCTACATTTATTTATGGCTCAACATCCGAGTTTCAAATTATTATTTATTAAATTTTTAATAGGGCATTCCCACAGGCCTGAAGCGGGATTCACAGAAGCTTTTTTGCGATGCGACACACGATGCGACGCGATCTGCGATGGATGCGTGCGATGCGAACTCGCGAAATACCATTCACAGAAGAAGTCAGCGATGCGACAAAGTTTTGCTGATTTAGGTACGTCACCATGATATTCGCGCGGTTTGCCACAACTTGTAAAAATTTATAGGCAACTCTTGCACCTTTGTACAACTTTGCTGTAGAAAAGGTCAAAATCGTACCCCAAATCGCTTGTCGCATCGCATCGCATCGCAAAAGTTGAGCCAAGCTCAACTTCTGCGATGGCCTGCGATGGCCCTGTTGCGGCAGTTGCGTGGGGTGCGACATGGCTGCGATTTGGGGTTTTCCCGGTTTCGCGTCTGTCGCATCGCGTGTCGCATCGCAAAAAAGCTTCTGTGAATCCAGCTTAAGGCCTTCTTACGGGGTACCCTATATGTTCAAAAAAAAAAAAAATTCGCGCGGTACAACCATTTATGTCACCATATACGCGATACAAGGTGAAATGCGTACGGACTATGCAATATTTTGCCAAAAACCAAAATACATACCGTTTGTTACAACGATAAATCAGCCCCCATAACGTTTTTACGCTGCAGCTTCAACGCTATTTGGGTGATCAAGGGTGCGTTTGGTTGGTACGATCTAGAACAGGATCGAACAGCTGGTGCACATGGAGCAGCCTCATGCCAACCAAACGCTACTCCAGAAACAGAGCACATTTTTGTGGAAAAATGTGCCAAACTTGGTGCATTCTTCAAAATGTGTATGGATCACCATGGTCACTTTGTACGGTACGACGAGTCCAACCCAAAAGCGTATGCACGTGATCATTTGGGAACAAAATCGATGTTCCCGCCAGGTTTCACTGTGAAAAAGTGAAACTGCTCGGTCTGCTCCGGCCTCGAGGCCGGAGCAAGCAGAACATGTTCTGGCCGACCCAGAACAGGTGCAGTCCCAACCAAACGCGCTGTTCTGGTGAATCCTGTTCTAGTTCGTACCAACCAAACGCGCCCCAAGGTACGAGTACCGTAAAAAAGAGCGTTACCGTTGTTTGCTAAGGGTGTCTAGTATGACTACTATCAGTCCGTGCGCCAAATTCAAAAAAGTCGTCTAGAAGTTGCACTTTTATTTGCAACCGCGGGAAATTTGAGAAGTCTGGAGAAGAAAATTCTCAATGGGACTCAAAATTGACAAACAAGACGACGACCAGCGCTCGAGCATAGTACCTTTTCGTCATTCCTTCGTGCATGATACCCATTCTAATTGATAAACACTACCCTCATGTTTCGTTTCATGCGCAACGGACGAAGCGAAGTGTCTTTTTTCGTCCACAAAAGAAAGGTAAGGAAATTGTCGTCTTCGCGACACCCTTCGGATTATTTAGTGGGGCATTGTGGGCCAAGGGTATTTTTTCTTTTTCTTTACAACTGTCCCCAGGTACTGAGACGGCGCTGATATCCTAGAAGTTCTGTTGGTGCAAAATGCCAGGTTACTGACTTATGGCGAGGTTTGTCCACCCAAAAATATGGGAGATTTCTTCGATAACATACACACATAATACAGTGAATGGTATTGCAGTGGGCATCCAAAACGGTTGAACCAAACAAATATGGTATGATACCTAGAGGCTAGGCACACAAAAATCACTCAGGAATTGGACGCAAGTCCCGGGGCCTTGGTGTGTCATTACACCCGGACATTGAATGTTTGCCGGCGCACGGCTTTTGCTTCACCACTTCATACAAGTTTACGCACTCACTCAATTCGAAAGACTGGAACGAGACCAAACCGAATGTGACAACTAAGAGCGAGTTGTGCATTCGTTGGAACAACGTTCGGGCAGTGCGAGAAGGATATCAGCAGGGTCCAACAATGGCAGCAACAGCACCAGGTGATGATGGAGTACCAAGGAGGTTGTATCATGCACATTACAGTGAGCAACAAGAGAAACCGTACTGTGGTACGTGAGATCAGAGCCTGGGCAGGATGATCAACACTGTACACTGTGCTACAGCGCCTCAATTGTGCGAGAGAAAACAAACAGACCAGCAAGCACAGATCATGAACTGGTACACAACATTGACAAAGCACAAACCGCACAGCAAAGTTACACGGCATAGCCGAGCGTTTTGTTGCCAATGAATTGTTTGAGAAGGGAGCAGTATTCCTTGTAACATTGCATGGAGTATACGAGAACGCAGAGTCAGAACCAGGCGTAACAAGGCAAGACGGCTACTGTACAGGGGACAGGCTTGACGATCATTTGCATACTCGCAATTTTGGTACCAGGGAATTAGGCATCACGTCATACCGAAGTGGCTTCGACACGCTACATTGCATTCATAGCTGTACGGTGAACCTGTTACACGAGCTGTGAAACAGACAGCATGCCAATGACCTGCAAGCACCAACAAACGCAGCCGGTAAAACAAACGCTACATAGGTGCCCAACATTATAAACTTGTACATGCTGATGAGAAGCAAGAATGTGCTTGATGTTGGAAGTTATGCTCGCATATTCAAAAACATGCATGGAAAAACATCAATGACATTGTTCACGAATACAACAGATACATCATACAGGGAGAGTAAGTAATCCTTCCTCCGTTTTGTATACGCGCACGCGTGCGCGCGTGGTAGATAAATCCGTTCGGCATGACTTTCAATCAAGGTTGCGTTCACCGTAGGGATAGGTGAACTCGAAGCCAACACCTCTCACTTTCCCTCTACTGCCCCTTTGGGGCCGATGCGATCCTTGTGCCAAGTTGTGGTAGTGGCTCAACAGAACAGGACAGGTGTGTGTGTGTGTGTGTGTGCGCGCGTGCGCGCATGTGTGTGTGTGTGTGTGTGTGTGTGTGTGTGTGTGTGTGTGTGCGCGCGTGTGTGCGTGTGTGTATGTGTAAGTGTGGTTTCTGAACTTTTCTCACAATCGTATAAGTTTCATTTTTTCGTGAAAACCCAGCTACACTGTGACCGGTACAATCGCATGTCGTTTATCTGGCGGTCAGTCACATGGCATGTCGGGTATCCAACAGCATCGCACTGACAGCTTATAGACCTTATAATATTTAGTATTAATTTATAGTCCTACTTCAAGTAAATGTAGACAGTCAGCATCATGAAAGTTGCCATTACGTAGAGTTAAATACAAGCCAGTCTCTAGAGATGAGTACGACTGTCTCAGGGTAATACTAGTGATAAATACAGGTACTTCGAAGTACTGTCTTTTTGATCTGTTAACACAAGATGGCTTTGTAGCTTCAGTCGTCCAGAATATTCATTTTATTCCGAGGGTGCCGCATAATTGACACGCAACTGTACTTGTGCAAGTCTCCAAACGCTACGTAATTGGCCGACATTTACTTGTCCACGGTGATGAGAAGCATGGCTCCTAATTTTTAAATCATGAAAGGATTACATGCGCAGGTACATCCACACAATGTGCACTATCCTGAAGTCGTACGCAAATATTCAAAATCATTCACCAAACACAGAGAGGCGCACATACCGTTAAGTACAGCGAGAGCGCCCCACCTTGATTTTGCCGCGACAGATTTCACAGCCAGGGAAAGGAAAATCAGATGGCAGAGTGCAACGAAGTTCGTACGGTGTGAGCAACTTAGTGTACTAAGGTCACACTAAGCAGGTTTTTGTGTGGAGCTCGTGTCCGCTCGAAGGTACGGATTGTCTGCAGAACGTGCAATAATATGTGTACAAAGTTCGTGTCGTATAACCTACAGACAGGAGACCACCTCCACAATACGACCACGAAAGGACGAGATGGTGGGGCGCCGTCTGGCGGTACGTTACGGTACATGTTAATACAAAGGAAGCACATGCGCAGCAAGGAGATTAGTCATTACTTTACTTATGAGTTGATGGATAGAAGTTTCCTTTCAGCTGACCATTACCACTCCTGAAAGCAATAGTGAGTGCTGTTGTTCTGATTCACAGGTATATATTCGGCCCTTAGCGCAATGTGTTTTCGAAGCTAGGCACACGATTTGCATGAGGAAATCATGCAAAGATGTGGCATAAGGCCCTACAAACATGACCTAGGTAAAGGGATGCCATTATTTGCATTTGCAGTACTTTGGCATGGGATAATTTGTGGATGATTGTGTTGATCAATTTCACATAATTTCACGACAGGTCATAGTTTATTTAGTGGGGTGTTGTGGGCCAAGGATCTACGACCATCTCTTTTGCATTTCGAACAAGTAGACACTTTCAACAATTCATACAGAAAATGCCTTCAGTGCAAAACATACCGTTCGGACACACCAGGCAGTCCTTTCCAGCCTTGATTGTCAAGTGCAGACGTATCCACGATGACCTTCGAGTGAACTGCGGCTTGGAACACTTTGAATACGAACCACACACTCAAACTAACTAGACCACCGCATAGCTAGTGTATTCACGGAGCCAAAGAAGTCTCCTTCTGCCCCCACAGGGTCTTGGTTAGTTCTCTAGATGGGACGACAGCCATACCTAAATTCAATAAATTCTCCAATTCCAAAAGCCTCAAATGAAGGCGTCTTGGTGACTTCGTTTCCCGCGGTTGCAAATAAAATCAGCCCTTGAGTACCCCTTGGCGCACGGACTGCTATTACGGTATTCACTTCGTCTTGGGGGTTTGACATGGGCAAGTTAGTAGTTAGTGCGGGGCAGGTTCTGGCACACTTTTTGACCTTTGACCTTTGGGCCAAATAAGGCACACTGTGTCGGTCGTGCTTGGTCTGGCCCCGGGACTCCCCCAGGGTTTGACCTTTGACCTTTGGGTTAAATAAGGCACACTGTATCGGGCGCGTTTGGTCTGGCCCCGGGACTCCCCAGAGTTTGACCTTTGACCCCTGGCATGCCATAAATGTGCCATAAAGGTTCTTTTCCGTGGCGAACGTGCACTTGTGCACGTTCGGTGCATTCGCACCGGGGAGTAGTAAAATACGTACTATTCCCTGATTTGCACATCGTAGATGTGCATTGCATGCAGTGACATATTGCGCATGCGTGCATATGCACGCGGAGCGTGTGACCTTCAGTGGTCCTATGCGTGTGGAAAAGACGCAGTGCAACACAAGGTGTACTAGTACACGTGTCATTATACTACTCCCTGATTCGCACTTCGTAGATGTGCAGCAAACAAGTTCACGTTCCTTGCATTCGTTTTATTCGCACATCGTAGATGTGCACTGATTGACAAGTTGCCCATGCAGAGCATACCTAATCGGCTTTTCGATCGAGAATGTTCAAATTCGGCCATATTATGAGCTCCAAGATCAGAATTCGGCTCAACATAGTACTTGAAGTCACCGCTCCCATTACGTCATGTACATTTACATACACCCTGTTGAAGCACTGAAGCATCGGTTTTCGGGGAATTCAACATGCGAATTGTTGAAAATTCGGCGAAAAGATGGGTAATTTCTTCAAAACCACTGTTTTCGGCGAATTTTTCGCCCGGCCGATTAGGGAAATGCCTACTGTCCATGCAGGTCCATTAGATGCAAATTTCTATTTTGATCAGGATACAGTTAGAATCAACCGGCTACGCCCGGAGTATCATGCATTAAAACAATTATTGAAGGGGTGTCACAGTGAAGCAGTGTTGCTACGCACCACAAATCCCCTCTGCACTGCATCGAATCTATACTGGAGAATCCAGAGTGACCAGCAAAGAGTCACAACCCGCGGGTATCCAGTCACACCAAGGCATATCCACCATTCCCCACATATTAACTGTAACAAAACACAATACTGTTCACTATAATACACTTTTATTTAAATGGACTTGGATGAGTCTGTAGAAGAGAACACAATGCACGCACACGCACGCATGCGCGGACACACACACACACACACACACACACGCGCGCGCACACACATCTAGGTTATAGTGCTATACACGTATCTAGGATTTAGGAAGCACGAGAATATGTCGAAGCACCCACACATATCCCTTCATGCAGTGTACTTCAGTAGCCCAACACATTACGACCGCTATAGCACAGGACCATCACAAAACACATTACGACTGCTATAGCACAGGACCATCACAAAACACTACACACTGTTACTACACTGCATACACAGTTACTACACTACGCCTGTTACAAGTACTTACAAATAATTTTGAAAACAAATGGCACATCCCGAAGACGGCAGCTAGCTCCAGACCTTCATACATCATCATCATCTGTAAAACCAAGCATGAGCGCACACAAACACTATTAGTGTCACGAATACGGAAGCAGGGTAAGACAAGAGGATACGAAACAAGTAAGTATCGCTATAACGAGGGGGATAAGTATACATGTAGACAGAGCAGTGCTTACTTACAGGGTCCGGATACGCTCCATGGCGTCCCGGTAGTCGGACTGCAACAGCAGCCCGACCTGCCGGCCCTCCCAGTAACGGGTTCGATGGGCCGCACCCGCCAGGTGTGCGGCCACGGCCTGGCCTCCCACCAGCCTTTCTCCACTGTAAAAACGAAAGAAACCGCAGAAAGCACAGTGTCATAGAGCTCTTTTGTTGGGGGAGAGAGCTAGGAGCACTGCACACTTACCATTTGTCACAATATATTATAAGAAAGAGGCGGCGCTTGACGCACCGCCTCAGGTGCTGAAACAGGGGTATAACCCCTGTAAGTTCCACACCGCAGTGACATGTGAAAGCCATACTCACCATGCGCCGTAAGAAAGCCAATTACTTTCAGGCCGAGTTCATCAACAACAGACGGAACCCTAGACGTCAGTGGAGCGCTATGAACAGCCTACTTGGCAGAACGAAAGTCAGCCGTGAGCCTGGAGCTAGTATTGCAGACATTACATCTGTATTCTCAGAAATAGTTGGACCTTTGCCGCCAACAGAGACTTCTGACGCCCTGACGCTGGCATCCGTGCCTGATCAACCATCCAACATTCTACCTGGTCTGCCGTGTGGCCCCCAGTCAGACGGCACTCTAGTTTCTTTTACCCGAATCACAGCGGAGGACGTTAAGTTCCATCTCCGTGCTATGGACAGTCGCAAAGCAAGCGGTCCTGACGCCATCCCCCCGCTCGTTTACAAACTTGTGCCTGATCAAATTGCACCAATGCTTGCCTCTCTCTTGTCGTTATCCCTCGAAACTGGAGAATTCCCAACGCCCTACAAGCTAGCACATGTCCGTCCGATCCACAAACGTGGGGACGCTTCCGACCCTCGCAACTACAGACCCATCTCCCTCCTTCCTCTCATGTCCAAACTTCTCGAGAGGTGTGCGCTAGAGCAACTTACGCAATACATGGATAGCGCCAGTCACATGGAATCCCTCCCTGCAGTTCAGTTTGCGTACCGCAAAAACCACTCCTGCGACGATCTTCTCGCTCTGGTGGCAAATGATTGGAGTCAAAGTCTAGACCAGAACGAGTATGTAGCTGCAGCTTTCCTCGACATGTCCAAAGCCTTCGACACTGTCAACCACAGTTTGCTCCTCCAAGAACTGTTCGAGATTGGTGTGGGAGGGGTCGCACTGCGTTGGTTCGCATCATACCTTACTGACCGGCAGCAGAGAGTTGTCACCAAGTCTAGCAGAGGTGCCTGTTATTCTGCCTCCAGAGGTGTACCTCAAGGATCTATCCTTGGACCTGTCTTGTTCAATCTTGCTGTCCGCAAACTGCCAGAGTGTGTTGCTAGTACCAAGGTCCGTCAGTTTGCTGACGACGTTTCTGTCTACAAATCCGGAAGGGATCCACAGAAGCTCACTGCAGACTTGGCCAGAGACGTTCTGTCAATCCGCAACTTCCTCCGGGACCACGGCCTTAAACTCAACGCGGAAAAGACACAGTTCATCATATTCCGCCCAAAGTCCAAGGCGGTCCCAGCTAATCTCCAATTGTCAATTGACAGCACTAGCATTCCGCCTTCAGCCACCATCAAATACCTTGGCCTCCTGTTCGATGAGCATCTTACGTACCGAGATCACATCACGCTCCTGGAACGCAAGATAGGCGCTAAACTCGCTGTGTTCAGGAAAATCAAACACAATCTAACACCTGCTGCCAAACGAGTCTTCTACTGTTCCTTCATTCAAGCCCAACTTGAATACGGCTCTAATGCATTTGCGCACAGCCTCCAAGTCTCGCAAATGGACCGCATTACTCGCATCTCCAACCGTGCTGTTCGGATTGTCTTCGGCTACCCGAAGTACTACGATGCTTCTCTTGTTCTAGCTAGGAACTATCTCGCTGCTATCTCCCTTAGATATCAATTTCGCCTGTTTGTACTGGTGTTTCGAGCCCTCCATAAGTTGTGCAGTCCACTACTCTCGACCTGCTTCCTCCCTCGCACTGCCACTTCACAAACCTCAGCCCGTACACGCTCTCAATCCACTTTGTCACTTAGTCTTCCTTTAGTTTCTCGCCGCTATGGTTTATACTCGCTTAGCTTTCTTGGTTCTGATCGTTGGAATGCGCTTCCTGCTGATATTCGCACAATCTCCTTGCTCAGAAACTTCCGTTCATCTATTCAACAATTCATAGGGTACCCTGTAAAAAGGCCCTAGGCCTGTGGGACTGCCCTATTCAAAATTTAATAATAATAATAATAATAATAATAATACTGTAATGATACTGAAGTGAAGGTGTGAACCGCAAAGCAAGGCCTTTACCTTCTTCCTGTCGAATTCGCTCTCCAGCTGCATAACGACATCATCCGCTAAAATCCAATCATACCAAGTAATGCAAAGGTCATCAGTTGACCTTTTGGACTTTTCAACTCTTATCCAAAACCACCAAGAGGAAAAAAAACCAGGATAATAATAATAATCTTTATTTCAGGATTACCCAAAGGCTAACGCCTATCTGGGGATGAAGAAGACGTCAGTTGTAGAAGCGTTTGTGGAGGAGTTGTTACATTATTCTCAGTAAATAGATATGGCTGATACATTCGGTGTAGACGTGGACGACCGGTCGTGGTCTCTCACCACGGGTCCTTTACTAATAGAAAGGCGGACGCCAATAAGAACTGTTGTGGACTTGGCAGATCAAAACGCGCAGCAAGAAATTTGGCACGTCGATGGTAGACTCCATCGGGAGGACGGACCAGCTCTTGTTGATAGTAGGGGAGTGTCCGCCTGGTGCTATGGAGGTCGCCTTCATCGCATTAATGAACCTGCTTGGATAGGACGGGGTAGCATCGAGTACTACCTCAACGGCGTCTAGAGCCGGCGGTCCTGCAGTCAGTTATTGTGACGCCACATACTGTATTCTACGGTGGTATCACCACGGAAGGCTCCACAGGGAGAATGCGCCAGCGGTGATACGCAGGGAAGGTAACAATCGTGTACGGGAGTGGTACCGATACAACCTTCGGCATAGGGAAGATGGACCTGCTTTCATCTCTCAGGAGGAGGAGGGTGTCTATCAGTGGTACCTCAACGGGGTGTATTACGGTGACCACCATCAAGACCAGGCAATACACCCCATGGAGCTGCAGTACACCAATGTAGTACCTACTAAGGTAGACTCGTCAGCA